TGTAAATACTCTCACCCTTGAAATAAAGTATGTACAACTTCCCTAACCTGCTAAGCTTTTTTCGGGAAAAGTGTTCGGGTTTCAGATACGGTTTTTGGTCCGCTCCTGGTTGCAGCTCCGATTAAAAAACAAAAACAAGACACGTCATAATTACTAGTCACCAGCTTCATGAGGTCGAATGGCTGGCACCGAAGTCGTCGAAGTGAACTACGCAAAGAGGCCAAAAGTAGTATTAGCCGTTCTAAGATTACAGCTTCGATCTTCTACGCCTTTACACACATTCTACTGAAGACCATGAAGTTGGCTGCCAAGTAAACCTGGGACTTAATCTCCAAAAGTTAGTCCCGTTATCGACAGCAAAGCTAGCTACTGTACTGCCCAATCAGGATACGGGCGAAAATGTAGGATTTAAACGGCAAACATGTCTGCTTCACCGCTAAGCTGCGAAGTAATTTAGCCCAGAACATTGTTCGAGGTGGAGGAGATATTGCTATTACTTAACACATTCTTAGACCGTACTCACCCACACCAACTCCGTGTACTGCTAAAGGAGTCATTGGTTTCCAATCTAGAGTTCAGAAAATGTAGGAAAAGGTGCCTAAAATAAATCTAGGAAGGCAAAGAAGGACAAGTCTCATCATCAGAATAAAATACTTGATTCAGTGTTTCACACTATTAAGCAGGACACGGGTCGAAACAAATCTATCAACCTATTTCTCCACGACTCGGTGGCTTCAATGTTTTCAAGGGAATATTAGCCGCCACAACCACCGGGAAAATATTTCGACGCGGCCTTGCAGATAGATCTCCAGAATCCAGACTTTTTCAACCTGGCGCCCTCCAGCCTGTTTAGGCGACAGTTCCCATTACCACCCCGCTTGGGTGACGAGAGATGAGGTCCCTCCAAAATGGCAGGCGCCAGGTAGGGAAAAGCTGGGCGACTTGAGCGTGCGTCCCTACGAGCAGGGCGCGAGGCATCTCTATAGTAAGGCCGGAGGTTGCCGGCTCCCCGTAGTGGCGTAATCTGCGCAATGAGATTTTGACTGCCATCAGCGCCGAAGTGGAAGGAACCCCACGACTTCGGGGGGGGGGGACTTTAAATCAAGGTCGGAGAGGAGAGACTCGTCTGCAAGTTACGATTTGTACTTCTGCCTTGTCTCTTCCCCGTCTCCATCGGAGGCACACAGGTTAGGTTTGAATGCAATGAATCCTATTGAAATCAACGAGATTCGTCTCTGTGACAATGAGCCTCGGTTCAAGTCTTGTGGTGGATTCTATCCGGTTGCCACGCATACCAGATACTCTCCCCCTCAAAAAAAAAACTTTTCTTACAAAGTTTTAAATAATTTATATGTAGGTGGGGAACTTTTTTGATTGTCTAATAAAGGTACACACAGAGACATATTAACACATTTAATGTGTTAATGTGTGTGTGCACGTATTTACATAACTGTTCTTGCCTTTAGTGTGTAAATGGAGAAGATATATATATAATTCCTATTTGTACTATACACTTGCCTATAAAAGTAATACATGATTTTATGTATTAAATTTTTTGCTTATCAGAACTTTATATTGTCTTATTTCACAGTGTCCTGTATACGTTTGTCCCAATGTCATATATAACCCACAAGTGTAATCTGCACTCTTGGAAGCCTGCTGGAAACGCTCCAGAAGTAATATCAGATTCAAATTTCAGGTTAGGAATGATTCCAACTCCTCTAGTAGTTCGTGTCTAAACCCCCCTCTCCCACCCACACCCACACCCACAAACATAAAACGTTAAAGGGAACTGTATGTTTCGGCTCACCTACAGTGAGCCTGGGGAATTATCTATTATTCATTGGGCACATTTTAAATATGGGTGGCGATTCGCCCGCGAACGGAAGATTGTTCTTGTTTTAACGAAAGCTTCGTGATGAAATGGTTATTCTGCACCATCCAGGGATTCTTCTAACGCATCGTTCCCCGGTGCAAAGAAAGAAGGGATCCTGAGATCCGGGAGTAGGCAACGCTGAGATCCCCGAGGACCAAGCCAAAAGGAGAGGGGAGGGGGAAGCAGAGGGAAAACTTGTTAAGGTTATGCCCCGAATTCCTTCGAGAGCCAGAAACACAGGGAAGCCATTCCTGGCTTCAGTCCAGAGCTTGGCCAGAAAAGCATCCGCTGTCCTAACAGCTCCTGGCCTTGGGAGAGGCAGTAACTTTAGCCAGCAACTCAGTCGGCTTGTAGCTAAGGTTACATTGGTTGGGTGGATACAGCCTCTCACCTTTTCGGACAGCCGCAGCCGGAAATCAGATGTGTCAAAAACGAAGCCCGACTGACTGAGAAAGGAGAGCCGAGCTTCTAACCAGGTTTTGCGCTTGAACAGCCAAACAAGACCCTGGCTTTCCCAGGCAGCAGACGCTCCTCGGAACTGGTGGGACCCATCTTCCTTTTCATTTTATACATCTCGATCGATTTTCACTGCCGGCGGAACTCAGAATGAAAGCGGGTTTTATTTTTCTCCAACCCTCCACATTGCTTCGCTCCAGCCCATTCTGTACAATTCGGCCTCCATGGAGGAAGGGGCGGCAGGCAACAAAACGTTGCCCCTTCCTTACTGGTTCGCGCCATGGCATTAAATGCTTTAGTCAAGTTTAATTAAGGCTTGCTAGAAAAGCTCAGTGTTGTCACCCGACCTCATTGCAGAAAGGCCCCGGGAAAACCAGCCAGGAACTAGGGCAGATTAGAAGAGCGGGTGACTTGGACATGCACCATAAAGTTGGGCTGAGGAGGAAGTCTGGGCCAAGTCGAAAAAAGGTCGAAAAGGTTTATTTTCAAATTCAGTTAAATCTTGCATTGTTTTCAGGAATTTCTTTTTTCCTCTTCCCCTCCCGTTTTCACTGCTGGGGGGGGGGGGGGGGGGAAGTGAAGTCACTCAGGTAATGAAATTGGTAACTAAACAGTAATTGAATCAGCATAATTTGCGTACGGAATGCATTTCAAATGCTCCCAGTTTACAATTAAAGAACTGACGCGCTTGCTTCCAGCGTGCCGCACATTTAGAATAAGGACTTATTTTAAGTTCTAGCAAACAACATGACCGGTGAAAGTGGGAAAAATCGCACAGTTGAGGAATCTCGACACTGGTTACATGTTCGGTAGTTTTCTTAACACCGTTTACAATAATCAGAAGGAATAGGGATGGCGCTAAAAAATCCCCCCTTCACCCCGCCCCCCCCCCAAAAATTGCAAAGGGTAAATGACCCTTTCAGGTGTCCGTAGTCTATGAAGCCTTGCAGAGTCATTGCCCTATGTGATGTCACTAGTGTGAGTCTTGCCACTTTGAGAATCTTGGCGGAGCGTCCAATCTCCAGCCAGTTCTCACATTCCTTTTGGATCCACACCTGTCCACCGCATAGAGAAGGGATAGTCAGAATGCACGCAAGTTGGTCTTTTATTAAAAGGAAAGACAAAAATGCTTTCCAATATTTTTTTTAAACTTCTAAACTGGCACACGATCCTCCTTTGGGAGGGAGGGGGAGCGAAGGTTACACGAGCAGGTGGATAGCATCCAAGAGCGATGATTTCCAACGGGAGGGGTTGCCCCCGTGTTCACCTGTTTACCCTGAGATGTCTCGAGCGAGGCTGAAATTGGGGCACAGCGCCCTCAAGCGCCCAAAGCTTGCAATTACAGGCTGCGGAGGAAAAAGAGACCCTAAAGAAGCTCATTAGGTTTCTGCTAGTTGGGTTGAAATTATACTCAAGCCTTTTCAGCTCTTGTTCTCTGTTTTGTTTTTGTTTTTCCTCTCCACCCTAATCCTCGTACTGTCGTTTATCCGATCTGTAAACCGGTGGCTTCCGAAAGAAACCGAATGGAGGGCTCTGGTGATGCAAATAGTTCGATCCGTGCAGAGAACTGGATCCGCGGGAAAAGAAGCTGCAACCTCTATGCCCCCGGTATTCTTAAAGGGGAGTTATTCCCGTGGCACTTTCCCAGTAAGCTAAGGGAGGATGCTCACGGCGGAATGGTTCATGAGTCGAGTTTATTCTGCGGGGGAAAGATAATCAACAGGACTTTATTTTCCCACGCGCAAGATTCCCGCTAGTGGAAAATGACTTGAAGCAATTTTTGGAGTAACAACGAAGACTTTTTTCCTCGGTCCGGAAAACTATTCTAAACCCTGAAACACGGAGACAAGGAAGCTGACTTCCAGTAATCACACCGATAAGCATTCTGCCAAATATTATCTTCCTATTCCTAGTCCCTGGTGCGTATTTTGGATTCCAATTCCCAAAACGCCCGCCTAGAATTGTCAAACGACAACTCCCATGATCCCCAGCTTGGACAGGAAGCCTACTGCCCCCCCCCATTCCTAACTAATGAGGTGGATGGCCAATTGTTTGAGAGAGAGATGGAAGGTCATTAGGAAGGCACCGGATCGGGAAGAGAGTTTCGGACGGTGTGCCGGAGGAAGGGGTCGGAGAAACAGGATGATAGGGGATTCATCCGAATGGCCTTGGAACTCAATCCCGTGTGTTTCCTAAACTGTGTGATTTTGGCCCCCTTCTCACATGTGAACGAACAGAATGTTCAATGCTCAACTAAAAACGTGAGGAGGAAAAAAAGTTTTACAGAACATGAGTCCGAAACACCACTGCTAACCGGCAAAAGCCTTCCACACAAAAATAAGCCCTGGTCAGTAAGATTGCAATATCCCTTGCCCAGTATCTGTTGTGTGACACCACCACCACCATCCCACCGCTCCAAGTGAAAACTCCCCAAGAGCCACCTCCCCCTCCTCAACCTAATTTAGACCTTTGAAGTTGCCGGAGCCGAACGCTCCTCTCTGCCTCAGGGCACGTCCGTGATTGATGGAGGAACTCAGGGATTCAAGAAGTTTGTCTGAAGTGTAGGACGTCTCCCCCAGGATCGAGGCCTCCCCTGCTGATATCCCGCCGGCAAGCCCCGGCTGGGAGACGAGCAGAGAGAGGGGGAAAGAGAGGCGCAGAAACTTACCAGGTACAGCACAGGTTGCAGCAGAAGCACCGCGTACCAATATGTGGGCTGCATCCTCGCGGCTCAAACTTCCTTCGCGCTGCTCGGGCTCCCTCTCTGTTTCGCCAGAACCATAGATCCACCCGGCATCTACTTTAAAGAGCCAGGACAGCTCGCTTCAGCCTAGGCAAAAATGAAAGGATAAACTCCATGACCAGGAAACAAGGTTAGCTGCCGCGTTGAGTGGAAAGGGAAGGGGGAGGGACACGCAGCCAGCGAGGAGGAAGAAGGGGATGCCTCAAAGAGAATTAGTCCATCTGGCAAGAGCGCTGGGAGAAGAGCTTTCCTTGGGCCAAATTAACTAGTTGCGGGCTGACTCCAGAGCGAGAGGCTTAATAAGAGCTAGGGGATTTTTTTCCCAATGTCCAGCGCTCTTGCTTGTCTGGGTGGGTGGGAAGAGAGGGCATCCACCAGATCTTTCGCCGCCACCCCGACTCCTCGCGTGGGGCAGGAGTAAAGCTACGCACCCGGCCAGGAGGGCGCGGAAAGTGGGGGAGGAGGAGGATCAGAAGAGCGACCGGGGAGGCTGAGAGGAGCCAATCGATTAACCTGGGCTCCCGGATCATGGCCGAGACCAAGCTCAAGTTCCAAGCAAAGGTTTCGAGACAGTGGCTTGAACCTGAGAGACGCCCAAAGAAGCTCGCGCGCGCGCGCACACACACACACCTCGCTTTCTCCCACAGATCCTCAAACCACCTCCGACCCCCCACCAACCCCTTTTCGGTGCTTCGAAGCCGTTCTTCTCTCTCTGGATTGTCCTGACCCTCTTTGCCTCATTGCTGGTCGCCAAATCTCCCCGCTGTTCGAGTCGCCCCCTCTTTCCCCCCCGAAGGCTCGTGGGGAAAAGGAAAGCGTCCACCTACTGCATATGGGGTCCGAAAGCAGATGTCGATCTCTGGCAATAGTCCATAGGAAAAGAAATCAGCACAGCAGTCAAAGCCAGCTACGCGGGCTCGGGTGCTCGGACAGGGTCCCCTCGGCGCGGTTGCTCCATGATATGGACAGAGGTCCCGTGGAAACAGGTGCCGCCGGTTTCGGAAGGGAATCGCCCAGGGACGTCACGATGGCAGGAAACTTGCAAGAGGAAGGAGACCTGAGGCTGTCCGGACCGCCCGCGTCTTTTTGCAGCAGCCAGCGGCACCAGCAGTAGCCACCGGTATTGCCTCCTGGGCGTTCCGAGTGATTTGTCTCTATTAAAAATGACTTATTGGCCAGCAAGTGCCCGGCGATGGCTGCTCTTTAAGTTTCGATAAAATCTATCTGGAAAGACCTTGGCTGATCATCTCTTTAGGGGGAAGGGAGAGAAAAGGAAGAAAGGGGGAGGAGAAGTGGGAAGGGGAGGGGAGGGGAAGCCAAGCGATGCAATACAAGCGGCTGGGTGTCAGAGCCCCAGAGCGCTGTCCGAATCATTTCAGCTGGAAAAAAGGAAGGGGGAAAGAAAGCTATGAGACTTTAAGCTGCATCCCAGCCTCTATAGCCTGAAACTGGCGGCGAATCAGAGTCCTCCCGAGGCGCTCTGCAGTGCAGTGCCCTGCCGCCAGGGGACTCCCTTCCGCTCTTTCGCAGGCTTACACAGCCGCTCGCGTTCACGGTGGTCTCCTCGCCGTGAACCACGGGGCGTGGAAAAGGGATGCCCTAGCAAAGCATTAACGTGCCCTCTGCGCCGGTAGACAGAAGAAAAATTGGCTTCGCTTCGTTTTGTTCTCTCTCTTTCTTTTTTTCTTTCTCTCTGTCTTTCTCGCCTCGCCTCGCCCCGCCCCGCTTGCCTTGCTGCTTTCTGGCTCCTTCTTCTTTCTCAGTAGCAATTAATATCCCATGAATATGAATAATGATGTCGCCCTTGGCTCCCGAACAAACAATAAAGCATTTGGAAAAGGAAGCTTCAAGTCTTCCGATGCTTCCCTGGAGTTGTCTGCAGGGGGCTGGGAGATGGCTAGAGCAATGAGCCGCGAAGTCTGGTACCCGAGATAAGAAAAGTTGGGCGGCGTGGCATGGCATGGCAAGAGCCGCCTCAGATGCAAAACCCGCCCTTTTCCGGGGCGGGGTGAAACTGGAGGTCGATACCGGTAGCTGAGGCTATTTCCCTCACTCCTATTGGAACAATAACTTCGGAATAGTTACTTCGGAATCATTGCCTTGGGCTTCCTCGTTTGAGACTTGAACATAGGCGTTACACAATGGAGTCAAGATCAGCCCACTCTCTGCTGGGCCTTTAACATGCATACCTCCCGTTCTTCATCTATCAGTATAAAAAAAAAAGTTGTTTAATGTGTCAGTTGCCCCCTAATACCAGTTTACCATAGTTCCCAGTGTTGGTTTATATAGCACAATTGTAGACATACACACACTTTTGGTTTCCTATTGTGTGCCAGGTTGAAAAATGTGGAATCATGAACAGGTAATTTAAGGATCTAAGATTAATTCACCTATAGTAAAAAAAATAAGGGAGGGGAGACTTGGTAAATCTATTGTAAATAATCTTAACTAAGAGATTAACAGATCCATCCTGAAAAGATAATTTTTCTTTTTGCTGTCTTGGTTTAGCAACAAAAAAAAGATTTAGACTGCAACCCTTTACAGACTTATCTAGAATTGCATACCATTGAATTCAATGGGTTTATTTCTGGGCAGATTTTGCAATGCAAATGTGCTACAATAGACTGCGAATAGAACATTAACTGAGGAGCTAATAATACCAAACACATCTTGCAGATGCTATAAGGAAAGAAAGCTACTACACCAAGGTTATAAGTTACCTAATTTTTAGAGTGTTTTCAGACAGCTTTTATTTCAACTATCAGGACTCTGTTTCATGGTGTTTTAAAAGCAATCCTAATTTAGAGTGCATTTGCTAGAGATGAAGAAGTGAATTTGCAAGTGATGAAGACATGACTTTGTGTTCATCAACATCAATTCACGGATAAATTGGTGTCTATAAGTTGTACACTTTGTACATCAAGAGTGCCTTACAGCACATCAAGAGATGCAGCAAACAAAGACATCCTAGCTTAAATCCTAGGATATCTCAGTTGAAAACAAAGTAAATGCTTCCAAATTTGAGATCATTCTCAAGTACTGTAGTAGATCACTTGAGAATGATCTACCAGCCTAAAGGAAAAAGTAGATCTTTTTCCTTTAGGCTGGATAATCTTTTGTCTCTGTGACCCTCATAGAAACCAAGATGTCATTTCATCATCCCACTTGACTGTTCAAAATATTTTCTTATTCGGTTCTTGGTGTTCTCTGGGCTTGCTTTTCTTCTTGATGATGTTTTATTATCTAGTTCAATAACATCATCAGTGCATGGAGGAGTGAAGATGCAAGCATAACTTCCAGGTTCCACAAACATTCTTAGAAAATGTAAATCATGTATAGTCCCAGTTTAGTGACTGTTTTGGACATGTGCCAGCTTCTTGAGAAAAAGGGAGTGGGGATTATAAAAAGAAAGAATCCGTCTAGAAGGTGAGCAGCATTTGTGACTGCTGGCACTCATCATGGCAGTGACTTTGGGACAATACCTTCACAGACCTAAAAAAGATTGCCAACTTCTTGTGCTAGGCTGCACATCCATGTGTGCTTGTACAAAATATTCTGAACTGAACTGCCCACATTTTCCTCTTCCACCCCCACCCCCACCCCTTTTCTCTCCTGTTTTTGGTTCTGTGATTTCATAGTAAACTGTTTGAGAATATGAGGGGGGTTAAAGAAATGGAGCTCTTCATGATTTTTTTTTTCCTTTCTAAAAGAATCTCTGGAGCTCTAACTTCCAATCCATGCAACTCTGATAATTTGGCTGGACAGATTCTAACAAACAGCAGCCCTTCTCATGACTTGCTGACAAAGCCTGTGATTTATCGTCTTCCAAAGGAGGAAACAGGGAGAGAGAGAGACCGTCATCCTATGAATGCTCTAGTCTAGCAGAAAAGAAAAGGATTTCATTTGTCCTGCCAAGTACCTGCTCTCTTGGAACACATCTGGATGATTAATATTGCTGTCTGACATTTTGATACTAATCTCTAAAATACTGTTTCAACTCAGAAGCTTCACTTTAGAACATTGCAATAAAAAGCTGATTGGTGATTAAATACCTTTAGATAAACTGCATTGGAGTCTGGATATGACCATGATGGAACCACAGCGAACATTTCTTCAAGCTTGGGGTGCATTTCCACAAAAGAATCCAAGCCTCTTGTGTCCCCATGAAATTACTAAAAAAGGATTCTGGAATTCTAGATCCTAGCCTTGCTCCTTTCATATTCTAAATAAATGTCCTAGTTTGTCATTCTTAAGCATAAATTATCCTCGGTCTTCTTAACAAAAGTGCCACTCAATAATGAAAGCAAATCATAAAGCTGTACTAGCTTAACACTTTTTTTTACACAAAAAAAAAAAAAAGGCAAAGCAGTATCATAGCAGTCACCAATAAGGAATTTCACAGAATTTATATGTAGATCTACTGATGGCTCTCTAGGTAATTTACAATAAATCAGCAAGGGTTTTTCATTTTCAGTATTTAATCCACAAATAAAAACATACTGATAGCATAAGAAACACAGCTTCCCTATTGCCCTTAAGTTAGAGAAATCTTATTTGACATTTGGTTGAAGCAATGCAGGTTGCTGCTTTCCTTGAACCACCGGATGGCTGTATATTTCAAGTGACCGCATTTGGGTAACTCAGAAACAAGCCCATATTTATGGCTGCAGTGTCTCGTGATTATGTGGACTGCATTTTATGATGTTCTGCTAAAAATCAACATTTACTTCTGGTTTTCCGCAAAACCAGTCATACTTATCAATGACTGTAATGTTCACTTAACAACTGCCATGGAAAAGATCATAAAATCCGATCAGTCATATGGAAGATGTGCTTTACAACCATCGTGCCTTATGACTGTAATGGGCAGGCTCCATTATGGTCATAGTTGTTGCTGTTGTTTTTGCTTTTGCTTTAATTTATATGCCGCCCTTCTCCGGAGACTCAGGGCGTTTTACAATGTCTTAAGCAATAGCCTTCATACTTTTGTATATTTCTACAAAGTCAGTTTATTGCCCCCACAATCTGGGTCCTCATTTAACCTACCTTTGAAAGGATGGAAGGCTGAGTCAACCTTGAGCCTAGTGAGATTTGCCCTTGCAGTAATTGCAAGCAGCAGTTGTTAATAACAGTGCTTTAGTCCACTGTACTACAGGCTCTTAGGTTGAGGACTACCTGTATAATATTGATTATCATGAGGTTTCTTCCCATCTCCAAATGCCTTTGATCTAAAAGGTAGCCTAAAACTACAACCAACCCACTTGGCACAGTTTTGTTCAGGTTCCTATCTAAGAGAGGCATGTCTTAGAATGGAGCATTACTTGAGAAAAATGTGTTAACAAACTGCTGAGCATTCTTTGCTTCACCTATCCATCATTCCAGAGAGCAGGAACTGGTGATTCCATTATAGTACATTAAAAGGAGAAATCTTCCATTTGAGCTCATTACTGGTGATTACAAAAACATGATGGCCATGGGGTTATCTCGGCAACCATACCAAAATAGCTTTGGCACTACCTTCTTCTGGAATGTATTTTTGACTTCCCTGCCTAACCTAAAACTTGGGAACTTCCTGATGGCATCCCATTCAAATGCTAACTAGGTCCCACATGTTTTAGTTATTTCAAGAACAGCGAAATTGGCAAGGTACTGCTACCTGCTGCAACTTATTATATTATGGGTGATTAAACACAAAAACAAAGGAAGCTTCTATTTACACTCGCATACACATCTGGTTATAAAGCCACATGGCTTGCATTTAAAGCTATCACCCTCTCTACATACAATCATTTGAATCCAACTGACTCTACAATCAGGAACATGATCCAGCTGTGATATTTAACCTGAAAAATATACCCCCGTTTCATAGCTGACCTTCCTGATATTGTCCCTACATTTCTTCCTGCACCCCTATTAACTGTCAGTTTCTGGTAAAGGCCTTTAAAGCCCATAGAATAAAATCTGAATATAGATAGTACTGTACCAAACTACAACCATTTGGTCAGTGATTGTTCCAAATTATGATGGCATTGAATGAATGGTGGTTGTGACTGGTCCTCATAATTGCATCCTGCAAATGCTTGGCAACCCATTCAGACTTATGACCAATTGCTAAGCACCCTGTGATCACCTGAGCAGAACTTGCAATCTTCCCTGCTGGCTTCCACAGAAAATCATCCTGCTCTCATTCTTGCATGTTCTTCCCAATTCACATGGCACCTCTCTCACACCCTCACACATCTACACACCCATTGCTCACCCAGCAGCAGTTACTTTCCTGCATGTAGGTTTAGGACTTGCATCTTCCTATTAGCCTCCCCACCGACTTTAGTCGTAGGAAGCCAGCAAAAGGTTGTTTCTCCTAATGACCAGGACTGCAGGGACTGTGCCACTAAACTATGCAGTTGTGGTTTATAACCACATTGTTAAGCAACAGAAATTTTAATCCCAATTCTGGTCGTAAATAAAGGACTACCTGATGATTCCTAATAGGATGAAACCAGCGACATGCTGCCTCCTGGTGGTTAATGTAACTGGGGAAAAAGACACACATACCGGTATATCCCCTGTGTAAAACTAGAGAAATTGTGGAAGTCCTACACATATACCATTCTGATAAATGCTTTAAACCTTAGCCTCTTTCTCTTATTTGGGAAATAGATAGCACCTTCAAATCAAGGTTGACTTCTGGCAACTGGATATGTTCCTGCAGGTGGGGGTTTGTTTGTTTTTGGCAAAGTTGTCAGAAGTGATTTGCTACTGCCTTCTTCCAAAACCTAAATGAGTAGCCTAAGGTAACCCAGATGGTTTTGTACCACCTGTCTAGAATGCACACATTTCCTGTTTCTAGCCTGGTGCCTTTAACCACTACACCAAACTGGGTCCATCATTCTAAATCTGATTATAATGATAATTACATACCCTACCCTATCTTTT